AGAAATTCAGCACAAGAAGAATATACTGAAAGCCACTAGAGAAAAGAAGCAGATCACATTCAAAGGAAAACCCATCAGAATGATGGTCGACTTCTCTTCACAAACCATGAAGGCAAGAAGAGCATGGAGCAGAGTACTTCAAGTCCTCTATGAAAACAAATTCCAGCCCAGACTACTATACCCTGCAAAACTCTCTTTGAAGTTTGATGGAGAAGTGAAATACTTCCATGACAAAGAACAACTAAAGAATTTCATGATGACAAAGCCAACCCTACACAGGCTCCTGAAAGATGTTCTAGAGAGGGACCAAAATGATCAGAACTCCACGAACAAGAACAGAAGCAACCAACTAAATAGGGCAAACAAACACAGGAGAAAAAGGAGTAAACAACAGCAGGTAAATAACATGTCAATCATAAGTCAATACATCTCAATTATAACCATCAATGTAAACGGACTCAATTCACCAATTAAGAGAAATAGACTAGCACAGTGAATTAAGAAACAAAAATCCAACAATATGCTGTATACAAGAAACACATTTCCCTCATAAAGAAATTCATAGGCTGAAGATCAAAGGATGGAAAACAATACTACATGCCCTAGCACCTCAGAAAAAAGCAGGGGTAGCAATCCTGTTTTCAGACAGTCTCAACTTCAAACCAACAATGATGAAGCGAAATAAAGAAGGCCACTATATACTGGGTAGGGGAAAAATTCAAGAAAAGAGGTAACAATGATAAATGTCTATGCACCAAACATGGGAGCACCCAACTATATAAGACAAATCTTAATGGACATGAAAAATATAATATCCAATACCACAATCTTAACAGGAGACCTTAACACCCCCTTATCCCCAAAATTTCCATGATTGTAAAAATTTATGTAGTTTTTTTTCCAGTTCAGGGAAAGAGGCAGTGAAAGACAGGAGCCGATGCCTGAATTGGATCGACAGATCAAACGATCAATCAATCTGTCTCTGTCTCTCTTTCTCTGTCTGCCTCTCTCTCCTACTTAAATGTATAGGTCTGCAACTATCTGTTTATGGAAATTAGTGGCAGACTATCAACCACTGTAGCAGTCTTACGTACCATTTTCTAGGATTTGTTGTAATGTTGATGATCTGCTTTTTGTTATTGCAAGTTAACTGCATTTTGGGTGTCTCAGTTTTTCTGATTACTGATTCAATATTACAAGAAGAAAAAAGTTAGATTAAATATAGTCCTATTTCTGCCTTTTAACTACATAGTGTGATTTTACCACACTGTCTCCAATATAATCTTTTGGTGATCATAACATTTTCCAGAAAATAGAAACACTGCCTTACAGCACATAGATAGTCCTATACTTAGTGGTTACCCAAATAATCTTTCTGATTTTCTGTTAGCAAATCACCTTCATTTTTCAATGATCTGTGGTTTTCAAGCTTATACTGTACAAACAGGTTTTACTTGATAATTTATCAGTATTGCACGTTTTGGGCATTTGCCCCAGAATTGAGGGGCATTGAAGGGTCAGTTAGAAATGTGAGGGCAGAGCTGAAGATCATTGATCACCCTGCGGACCCTTATCACATTGCTGGTATATACTGGCATCTGTTCTCAGAGAAGCTACTGTTGTGCCAGAGGAACCCCTGTTTCCCCCCAAAGTCAAAGATGTGGTCTATTGAAAAGCAGTTGTGCCAACAGAGTCTAAGCTTCAGCAAAATTCTTTTGACAAAAAATGGATAATGGCAGCATGATCTGATAGCTCTACCATTTGGTTCCGATCACTTCCTTTTTCTCCACTCAAAGCAGAAAGCTATGCTGAAAGTACTGTTTAATTTTTTATCATGCTTAAGATTCCATTATGTTTTATTATGCTCATTACATATTTTTTATATCCTATACTGAATGACATGTGTGAAAAAATTGTGTCATTTTGTGACTTTCTCACAACTAGTTCTTCAACCCCCTAAGTACTCAGACAGCTTGGTGGAAGTCTTTTAGTTTTTGTTTAGCTTAGCTTTGTTTTGTTTGCAGTACTAGGAGTCCAACCTAGACTCTGGGGCATGTCAGTAAAGTACTCTAGTGCAGAACTGCACTTCCAGCACAGGAAGCATGCTACAAAATTCTCTTTCCTATACCCATTGACGATTCAGACTAGAAAGCAAAGAAAGAACACTAGGAGGTAGAGGATACTGTGTTTTCTCCTAAAACTCTCAGGAAACTAAAAAGCATGTGGGCACGATTGATGGAACAGCTACCAAGATGGAAAGATGATATTAACCTTGAATCCTAAACAGACTGAGTGACCCAGAAAAATGAGAAAAATAAAGCAAAATACCAAAGGGAACATTTATAGGAGACAGTTCTCATTTTGAATTAATGTAGTGAGGCAGGCAGTGAAGAACAAAGATAAGGTAGGTGAAAAAGGGAACACAAAACCTTTACAGGTACCTATGAAGACTTTTTCAAATAAATCAAGATTTGTGTACCAGTTGCAAAGTTTACCACTGTATAGGATTAACTGCTGGATCTACAGTCCACTTCATGATTCTAACAAACTTTAATCATTCTACATGTCTTCCTTTTGCTTTCTTCCTTTGACCCTACTTTAGGCTTCACTGGATTCCGAGACCAGGTGCAGAAGGACTGTATCTGAAAGGGGAGATGACCTTGTTCTATTTGTGAAAGAGAAACTTGAGAGAGTGCTGAACTTCGAGATAATGGCTTGCACGAACCGTGTGTAATGTTGCATTAACTTGTAATTATCATTATTGGAACTACAGCCAAACACTCACACAGCGCCCTGCGGGGCACATTAACTATATAAAAGGTATGAGCTGGACCCTGAGGAACACGGCCTTAAGGATCAAGAGCACAACACTCACTGATTCGTGCCAAGCATGCATTGCACTCGACCAACCTAGAAGTTTCCACATACTTGGAAGAGCTGGCTAATTCTTACTTTCAAAATTAATAAATCAGGCACACAAGTTTAACTGTCATATGGCTTCTCTTATTTGCAAAATTCAAAGTATGAATAAAGAGCAAAATGAAAAGATAGGTAATAGGAAGTTGGAAGAGGGGTCTTTCTCATGAGGAAAGGTGATCAAGAGAGGGATGAAAGGGGAGCGAGGAGCAGGAAGGGAATAAGGGTGTGTTTTGTGTGGGCCCCAGCCCTGCCCAAGGAATGCGAGGCAAATGCACAATGATAAAGAGAACAAGGGGCATAGCACCAAGAGGTGGATGGGGCAGGGAGGAAAGGAGGAAAGGAAGGAATTAAGATGTGCTACATACATACAGCCCCTTCCAAGGATTGTGGACAGTCCTGCGGCCATGTACTATAAAAAAACACTAACCCATAACAAACAGATAAGATTAAACAAACAGGAAATATATACCAGGGAAATTCATCTGGAAGTATTAACTGAAATTTTTGCTTTGCCCCATCCCCATTTCACTGCAACCAGATAAAACAAAAGGCTTCACGCCCCCTTCCCTGTCCTGCACAGGAATGATGGAACCTGCACACCCAGTTCTGGCAAACCAGCAACACAGAGAGGCAGGAAGATGCGTCACATCTGGCCGGCTCTTCCACTTGCTTTTGAGTATGCTCGTCGCTGCCTCTCCTGCTGCCTCCTCGGATCCCAAAAATATGATTAATATCTCAAAGCTCTGCATTGTAAGCGAGGCTGAGGCGCTCCTTCCCAGCGAGGCTGAGGGTCGGAGTCAATGAGAAGTGAGACTGCGGGGAGTGAGTAGGCACGTGCCAATGTTCAGGTAATGGGGCATGAATATCAAACGCTGGCTTGGGAGCGGCCTTTACTTGCTGAAGCAAGTCTGATCAGCTCGTGGGCAGATGGGCCGCGCCCAGGTCGCCGGCTCCAGGGTCTGCCTAGCACAGAAGCCTACGCTTTATAACCGGGCGCCCTGGTTTCCCATCTTGGATCCTGTCTTCCTTCCTTCCTTTCTTCTTTCCTTCCTTCCTTCCTTGCTTCCTTCCTTCCTTCCTTCCTTCCTTCCTTCCTTCCTTTATTTTTTACTTTTCCTCTGTCTTTTTTTCTTTCCTTCCTTTTTTTATTTCCTTCTGTCCTTTTTCCAAAACGTGTTTTCCTCTCTCTCTTTTTTTTGAATCTCTCATTTCTCCCACAGCCTTACAACGGATTTACAGTTTTATGATCTCAATACCTGCTCTTGCTTTAAAAATATGTGTTATTTGCCAAATATAGAATAATACAGATGGTGGCAGCATGCTACAAGAATTATAAAAGCTGTAATTTTTCTTGAAGAACTCTGCTTTGTCTTCTAAAACCAGTGAAACCCTAAATTATTAATTACTTTAATTCACTCCTATGTGATTCTATAATCCCCAATTAGATCATTTTTATGTTCCTAAGTGGCAAGGATCTCTGGAAGATTTGCACAACAATAGTGACAAAATGAAAACTTTAATAAGGTGTAGGCTATAATTAATCTTACCTTGTAATGAATAGTTTTATTCTGAACAGAATAATGAGAGTTTCAGGAAAAGTGTTGTAGAAAAATACTTTTGCTTTGAGATTCTAGGAACACACTGTCAGAAAAACTTAGAGTGATGTTTTTAGTGCAGTGTGGGATCCAAAAAAATATAAAATACACACATGTGCATCAATTGTGAATTGGTTAAGCATAATAATGTCCAACCAATGAATTGACTGGGAAAAATGTATAGGAACAAATGAGGATATAGGCAAGAATAGAATATTAGTAAATGCATTTATATAAACTACATCTACTTCATGGATTGACGAATGTTCATCTGACAACGATGGAATTTCGCCATGACTACATGCCTATATGTCATTTTAAAATTGCCATTTTGCATACGTACTATAATTCTTATAACAAATAAAATAAAAGTAGCCAAACAAAAAAATTTCTTAGCCCGTACCTAAGGACTGAGAAAATCAGGAGGAGCACAGGAAAAGCAATGACACAAGCAATATTTTGAATAGCACAGCGATCATCGTTTACCTGAACAGTGTAGTACTCTTTGACTTCAGGCCTAATAGAATCAAAGTCCCCACTGATGAATTCAGGCAAGAAGCTGAAAGAAACAGGTTCATGTAAGTGACACAGAGTGGTCGATTTATTTTATTTTATTTTATTTTATTTTATTTTATTTTATTTTATTTT